AGATGCTGCCCTCTGGTGTCCTTCAAGGTCCCATCTTCTTCCCCACTCTATTTAACATATATATGAAATTGCTGAAAAAGCTTGTCAGAGCTTTTAGGTTCAGTACTACTAGTACACTGATGGCACCCAACTCTATCTCTCCATCTCAGTCCAAGGAGGCTATTCTAGTTCTGCATTGGTGTCTGATGCCTGCAATGGACTGGATGATGATAAATAAATTAGAGCCTATTCTAGATGAGGCAGAGGTGTCCCTGTTAGCTGAAAGGCAGATCAGGGAATAGAACTCAGCCTGGGCCAGATGGGGTTACACACAGCTTGAAGACTCGGGCCACAGTTCAGATGTACTCTTAGATTCTGCCCTGAACCAGGATGCTCACGTTTCAGCAATAGCCAGGAGTGTGTCTGCACAGATGAGCCTCCACTGCAACTGGCTGCAACTGCAGAATGATTTGGAGAGAATTTGACTGGTGTCAGTTATACGGCATATATGACTTCCTCATTGAAACAGTTTCCTTGGTCAACAGTCTGTTTCCAGGCACAATTCAAATAGCTGCTTAGGACCTCTGAAGTCTTATATAGCATGGGGTCAGGCTTGAAGCCTCCTCCCATATGATCCTGAAGAGGTCTTTCTCGCAATTCTGTCAGCAGCGTAAGAGCAGTTCATGAAGACACAAGAATGGGCTTTCTCAGTGGTTCTTGCTATGCTTTGGAACTCCCCACTGAGAGAGGCCAGGTTGGTCCCCTTTCTCTTGTCTTTGTTTGCTGGTGGAAAGACATTTTAATTAAAGCAGTTCTTTGGCACATAGGTTGGCTGGTTGGGATGGGTTCTACTTTATTCTTTTAACATTATGTTTTTAAATGGTGTTTTAATGTAATTTGAAAAAATACCTTTAATTTTTCATTTTACATTTTGGTTCTTATTGCTACCTGCCTTGAGTACTACTTCTTTGGTTGAAAGGGCTAGAAATCCACTCAATGAATAAATGTAAGTATTATTTGTATAGCTTGTAATTCAGAAGGCAAAGGGGACATAAACTTCCCGCAGTGACTGCAGATTTGTCATTCAAGAGGAGCAGGTTTGCCCCTGCCTTTACATTGAGTTGGGTACAGCAGTATGCTTTTTTCCAAAATGTATGCAATTTATTCACAGAAGAAAGTAAAAAACATCTAGATGGAGATATAACTACTAACTAAAACTGTTCTGTTCCTCTGGCCTCTCCAGTCAGGAAGAATCCAGCTTTGTTCACCTCTGTAAAGGCTACAGTATGACAGAATGTTAGGGTCTGGTTTCTCTGTCCTCTACATCCTTTGCATGGGAATGCACTTGGAGTTAGCAAAGATTGTGGCTTGGCATATTGTAATTCAGTGTCAGAATTTCTGGCGTATAGCATATATAAGCATCTCCAATCTGAAAAGTAACAAAGTCATAGACTTACTTTCATTATTGACACTAAGACACAATTCTTTGCTATGTTTGCATAAGGTACATCAAGTCCCGCATCATCTGTACCAAGCATCAGGTGTTACTGGAATGCAGAGTAGTTAGTGCCTACCATGGGAACACATAGCTGCAGGCAAACATTGAAAATGAACAACTGGTTGTATGTCCAAGATAAGCAAACTTTATGCATAAGAATATTTGTTTCTATTCAGCAATGCATCTTCTACTAGACCAAGAAATTCATGCCTGAGCCATCCCCTGCCAAACAAAATTTAAAAACTGTAAAGAATTTTGGAAACCGCACAATGAATTCACTCCATATGCCTCATAAAGCACTACTTTTCCCCATCAAAGACAACATATATCTTCTCTACCTCTTTGTTGGCTGCATTGCCATTATTAAGAATTCACAGCTTAACAGGAGGACAGAATAATAATCTGTTCCACAGACTATTCTGCTTTTGAATTTACTGGATCTGAAGCTTGTGATTTGGATTGTTCCCTTGATGAAAGGGACTCTAGTTCAATGATAAAAAGCACATTTTGCATGAAGAAGGTCCAAGGTTCATCTCTACTGCTCTTAGCTACAAAAAGATCTCAGACAGCAGAGCTGGAAATGACCTCTATGTGGTATGTTAGAAGATTACTACCAATCAAATTAGACAATAATTGTATGGGAGCTATCTAGTGTTCTATCTTATCCAGTCTTGTTGGATAAGTTTCAATTATTGCGGCTTGAGGATGTGGACAAGTTCATCCAACCTGTTTACTCATCCCTTGCCCTTCCTGGTTGATCATCAAACCCCAAGAAGGGATGTGACCCTGGGTGCAAAAGGTCATCAACACTTCTCTAAGGGAGGGCTTGGTTCCCTCTCCTTTGAAGGAGGTGGTGATCAGGCCACTCCTGAAGGTGACCCTGGATCCAAAGGATGTCATGGATTATAGACTAGAGACTAGCACCCCTTTGTTTGACAAGGTGCTTGAAAGGGTGGTGGCTGGGCAACTCCAGGCACTCTTGGAGGAAACTGACCATCTTTCAATCTGGTTTCAGGCCTGGTTTTGGGGCAGAAACTGCCTGGGTGGTCCTGTGGGATGACCTTTGCTGGGAGAGCAATAGGGGGAGTGCATCCCCATTCGTTCTCCTGGACCTCTCAGAGGCTTTTCATACTATCGACCATTGCATCCTTCTAGATAGGCTGGGCTGGGTTTGGGCACTGCTTTGCGATGATTCCACTCCTTCCTGGCTGGCTGATTCCATATGCTGTTGCTGGGGGATTGTGGCTCTGCACAATGGCAATTATGCCATGGAGTTCTACAGGGTTCCTTTTTATCCCCTGTGCTGTTCCATATCTACATGATGCCACTGGGAGAGATTATCTGGAGGTTTGAGCTGAGGAGTCATCAGTATGCTGATGACACCCAGCTCTACCTCTTTTTTACATCCAATCCAGGTGAGTCAGTGACTCCTTTAAATGGGCTGGATGAGGGCCAATAAATTGAGGCTCAATCCAAATAAGACAAAAGTGATGTTGGAGGGCTGGCTGTTCAGGTGAGTGATATTTGCCCTGTCTTGGATGGGATTGCACTTCCCCTATGGGACAGGGTATGCAGCTTGGAATTCCAGGTGGCGTCTGTGGCAAGGAGTGCTTTCCTTCAGCTAAGACTGGTCCATCAGCTGTATCCTTATCTGGACAGACAGGCCCTAGCAAGAGTTAACTCAGGCAGTGGTGACCTCCTGATTGGACTATTGTGACAACTTTTGGTGGGATTGCCCTTAAAGGTGATCCAGACATTGTAACTGGTCCAAAATAGAACTGCCAGACTGTTGACTGGGTCAGGTAGACAAGAACATATTATGCTGGTCCTACTGAAGTCCAGGCCCAAATTACAGTACTAACAATAACACAGAATTAGTTGCATCAAGTACTGGCATTCAGCAGTTCGTAACTGTTTTATTGTTGTAATACTTGTTTTTAATATTTTTCCTTGTAATTTTGTAATGAATTGATAGTATATTCAATATTGACAGTATATAAAAACTTTAACTAAAGATGGAACTATATACCTAATAGTTTGATTCACTATGTATTCATACATTAAATCTTGGTGTGTCTACAGTAACACTAGAAAACCCAAAGTTTATTATGAATTCTACAGGTATACTGTTAGCTGGGTTAGCTTAGAAGAACTATACAACTCCATTGCTACAAGAGCTTCACTGGTTACTAGTCTATTTCCAGGCACAATTCAGAGTTTGCAACTTAGGACCACACCATTTCAGAAGCTATATTTTTCTGCAAGTCCCAGTAGTTTACTAATAGCAAGAATGAATAGAAATAAGGTGCCAGGTAAATATCCTTTTTAATTTCCCAGTATTTCAACTGTAAACTTTTAAACTTTAGTTTCAATGTTGGATTTTAATTGTACTGCTGCTATACCTCTACATTCATTCAGTTACAATTGCTGTAATTTAATTGTCTTATATCAACTTTTTGTTGTGTGTGCATTTGTAAGTTTTGTTAACCATCTGGAGAGCTTCAGCTATTGGGCAGTATAAAAATGAAATGAATAAAAATAATTATTTGCCATGCCTTGTTCTGCGTCAGCCTCCAGGTTCCTTGCTTGTAAAATTACTACCTTTAACTAGTTCTTCGTGTAGCTGCGCCGGCCAGCGTTTAAACTTTGTTAGGATCCATGAACTATAGTAACCCAGGTGCGGATCTGTACATGTAGGTCAGCCCAGCCTATAGCTAAAGACTGGCAGTAGTTCATTGCCTCCACACTTTCCGCCAGCGTGATTGCTATATCCAACGCCACCCACGATCATCCTACTATTTCACACCTGGCTCTCCAACTGTTCTCTGCAGTCGCCAGTAAGCCCCCCAAACAAACCACCCCAATCCCCGAAGTAGCTCCCAACACAACCTACTCGCTTTCAGACGCCCTGCCGGAGGACAGTGAGCTGCGTGCGGCTTCTCCCGCTCACACAGACCGCGGCCAAGAAGGAAGTGCAGAAGCTTCCAAAACCAACACAAACACACGCACGCACCTCGGACCAAGTTACTCACCGACCCCCGCCCGCAGAGTATCCACCCCCCGTCACCCTCAGGGGCGTGTCTCGCGGAGGTTATTAGGAGTAGCAGCAGGACCACGCACCGGGGTGAACGCACAGATGGCTGGGAGTGGAGAGACGAGTCTGGTTGCGATCGCGCTCAACCCCGCGCTGCCCGCCTCGGGAGCCGCGACGCCACAGGAAGGCGACAGGCTGCCAGAAGATTAGGCAGAAGCGGCGGCGGCCAAGGCAATTTGACAGGGAGCGGCTGCAAAGGCTCGCGCGTCCCCTCGGCGCTGCCGCCGCACGCGAGGAGTTCCAGCCGCCCGAGGAGGCTGCGGAGAAGTACCTGTGTCGAGTCCCCCGCCCGCGCGCAATTGCAGGCGCCTTCCTCAAAGATGGTGGCACCCGACTCCTCTCCTTCAGGCAGCTGACTCCGCTCAAGGGTCCGCTTGCCCGGGCCGAAGTGAATCGATCGCCGAAAGGAGGCTTCCGCCCCGCTCCTCATCGATACGGTCGGAGCTCCGCTCGCCGCCCTAACCCTGTCGCCTCCTCCGTGCTCTTCGATTCCCGCGCTGCTCGCCTGCGGAGGGGAGTAGGCGAAAGCGGGAGGGAAAGCGGAGGCGGAAAGCAGGCGTGATGGGGAAAGGCGAGCGGTCGGGGGAAGCAAAGGAGAGAAGTCCGCTTGTAGCGCAAACTTTGCAGTGCTAAAACGAGTGAAATCGGGTATACCTAAGGGTAAGGCTGCAGTCAGTGGGAATTGCTCCCCAATCGTAGGTAGAGGACAGGGGCGTGCGATTAGTCCTCCAGACGTTGCTGGACTGCAGCTACCATCGGCCCTAGCCAGCTTAGCTAATGATGGGGGATGATGGGAAGTGCAGCCTAGCAATGTCTGAAAGATCACGAGTCGCCTGCTCCTGAATGGTCGGTTCTATGCATCTTTGACATACTACGTCCAAAGCGGCAGGCATAGGACTGCAATGTAAAATTACATTGGAGCGTTCTTCGCCGGGAAAAAGTTGTGCTGAGCTTAGTGGGACTTGAGTTTAGTGGGACTTAGTGTGAAGTGCAAATCTCAATAACACGTCTACTCAGAAGTAAGTCCCACTGAATAAAACGGGGCTTTCTGTTATGTGACTTTACGTAGGTTTGTAGCCTTAATTCTGAACAAACAGTTATAGGCTTGAGCTTCTAATTACATATTTTGCTGATGTTAACCAGACCGAGCATTTGAGCTGGTTACAATGCTTTTTAAGAACACCCCAAAATGTATTTGAAAGTGATTTAAGACAATTTGCTGTTAAGTAACACAACTAACTGCTATTTATTTTATTTGGCATGGGTGGTTAGAAAATACTGGTCAGAATAGGTTTTGGAGAAATTTGAATATGAAAGCAATGTAAAAGGAGTTGTAAACTGGATGAGGTGATGCAGATTTTTGGTTAAACAGTTCTTAAGGAGTTAAGCAGTTGCTGTATTTTTTGTCTTTTTTTAAAGGTTAAATTGAGTCATTGAACTCAGTGATTGAATATGTAAGGAGCAAGGTTGGTTAGTGAGTAAACACATTATCTAAAATCTATGACTCATTGTCCCATGATCCTGTTCATTAGGGGCACATGTCTGACAGCTGACTGATTTAAAATTGGACACACATGTCATTCTTGCATTTAGAAGGAGTGTGGAAGTGTTCCAACTAAATGGAGTCCATAAAGCACAGTATGGTGATACCTTTGTTAGGTCCAACCAGAATTTCATGAACTCATACCCATGCTTTCTATATCATCAAAACTTAATCAGATTGGTTATTAAGCAGAATGTGTCAAAAGAGAGAAATAATATATAACGATTCTTACAATGGTAAGGAAAATAAGTATTCTTACAAAAGTGAATCACCATATGTACAGCTGAATTTGACAGTGACAGCAGATTAAGCCAATTGATTAGCTGCATTTTATTTTTTTTAATCTATTTACAAACATGAAACTGAGATGTAACATACTAAGAAAAAAGGAAACATGTTGCCCATTTTTCTTTGTTATTGAATGAGGCAAAATATTATTGTACAGTGGTACCTCGACTCACAAACGCCTTGGTTCTTGAACAAATCGGGTTGCAAACAAAAATTTCATGAAAATTTTCGATGTGGGTCATGAACTCCAGATTGAGTGGTGACCAAGATCGTAGCCATCTACCCCCCCCACCCCCCCCCCCCAGAGGAGAGATGGTCACAGTAGCAGTTGTGTGATCACGGGCGCGCTCCTGCAGGAAAGACTGGTGCAATCTCAGCCATCTCCCCCCCAACCAGCAAGATCGCAGCCATCTCCCCACCCCACTCCCGAGTGCGCTGGGGGGGGAGAAAGATCTCCCCACCCCCATCTCTCCCTCCCCTAGTGCCCCGTTCGCATCCATCTCTCCCTCACCCAGCAGGCCCCATTTGCACCCATCTCTCTCTCCCAGTGCACCCCATTCGCATCCGTCTCCCCCCCTCCCAAGCGCGCTGGGATGATGGGCATATGCAGGAATGACAGGTGGGATCTCGGTCGTGCTGAGGGGTGGAGAGATGGCTGCACTTGTGCTTAGGGTGGGCAGGGGGAGATGGCTGCGATCTTTGTTGTTCTTTGTCATTTTGCTTCACATTTTTCTGATTTAAAAAAATGGTTACAGAACAGATTAACCTTATTTACATTGAACCTTATGGGGAAATTTAACTTGGCTCATGACCAATTTGGGTCACAACCAGAGTCCCGGAACGGATTAAGTCCGTGAGCCAAGGTACCACTGTATATGGATATATTTTATGACAATTGATTAGTTATCTCTGTCCATTAGTAATTTACACATTTGCTCAAGCATCACAAACATTTAAAAAAAAAGTGCATGGAGTTGGAACTATTGGTGCCCATCTCTCAAACAAACTACAGGCAAGATTTCCTTTTCTTTCTGCTTCTCTCCATGCCCCCTGGTCTGTTCTAGAATGGTAGGGGACCCATGAAGGCAGTTCAAAGGTTTTTAGTGGGAAGAGCCTAAAAGGAACTCTCACAATGTTAGATTTAACCCCATTATAATATTTTCTCTCTGTACATCCTTTCATGTGCAAAAAAGTTGAAAAATAGTAGCATTTGTATGCCTCCCATTCAGATAAGAAAACATCATTTGAAAATGCTTGTTTCAGCTCAAGGAATTAAAATAGCAAGAGAGTGAACTCTCTTATAATGGGACCAATTTCTGAATTCTTTTAAAGAATTTACAAATTTTTATTAGGAGTCTGTAAATATCAATTCTTAATGTTATTCTTTGATTCTCTTAAATACAGTGAAAAATAAAATTGGGCTGATGTTTCACAAGAAAAGGCTGAGCTAGCTTTCCATATTTTGTTCTAATAAGCAAAGTTTGATTATATTAATCATCCTTTCAGAGCTAGGGTGGGGTAGTGGTTCGAATGCCAGATTGGGGAGACCTGAGGGGAAGATGATGTAAGTTGCCCTGGGTTCCCTGGAAGGAGAAAAAAGTGAGACATAAATGGAATAATAAATGAGTTCTGAGCTATGCTGCAGCCTACCTTGGAGTACTTAATGATGTGCTTTGTTAATTAAATAAAATTGCCGGTAAAGACAGCTGAGTATCTTGGTGCTGTTTCTCACTGTTTGTAAAAGCCCTTCAACTAAATGCAGGAGGAGTTATGCAAATGCAATTACCTTCACTCAGTGCAGGAAGAAGGGTTGGAGTGGCATTCTAATCCTGGAAGGTAATCCCCTGAATGAGAAGCCATAATGTTCTTCCTTTGACATTAAATTAGTTGGCTACTCTTTATTGGAGTTAATGGAACACGAGAAACTGTGAACCCAAGACACAGCTTGCATGTCATGAGAATACACAGTAGCTGTGTTTTTGCTGTAGCTCTAGCCATCATTTTAAACAATTGGTGAATGGTGGTGGAGTGCTACCATTTTTCGTTATGTGTGAATCCAGCCAGGATGTGTTAGTGTGGTTGATAAAGCATCTACAACCTGAAAACAAGCTGTGCTGACAACAAACCCCAACAGCCTACCTTTGCAAGGAGTTGTGGCAACAGGAGCATGGTGATTATGCAGATCAGGGCATTGTGTTTCCTTGTGGGTCACAGTTAGCATTAAACACCCACATGAACAGATGAACCAAATGAATATAAGTATTTAGTATCTGCAGCATTCTGGGAGCCTGCCTTGGTCTATTGAATGATTTGTGTGCTCATAAGAAGAACCTTTAAATGTTTCCATTATTTTCCCTGCTAACCAAAATGTTAAATACTGAGGCCACAAAATACTGAGGTAATAACTAGATAGATTGGGTCCAGCCTTTAAAATACTGCAATAGGCCAGGCATGACTTGAATTTCACCCAATAGTTCAGACGGTCCCCAGTGAGGTACCTGTAGTCACCCAAACAAAATTTGTTGCAATTTTGTTCTGTCCTCTTTTATACCTACCTGAATTTATATGAAATCCACAGACCGTTCTAGCAATTATATGAGTATATTTATTTATTTTTCAATTTATATCCTGCCTTTTTCCTACAAAGGGCTCAAGGCAGCTTACATCATTCTCCTTCTCCATCTTATCCCCACAACAACAACCCTGTGAGGTAGGTTGGGCTGAGAGTCCGTGACTGGCCCAAAGTCACCCAGTTGGCTCCATGGCTGAGTGGGGACTAGAACCCAGATCCTCTGAGTCCCAGTCCCATGCTCTTAACCACTACACTACACTGGTATACAGACTTCAATAGAAGCGGATCAAATACCAAAATTAGTTTCACATTGTGCCACCAGTTCATATATGAAGTAAGGTCCTCGGTCCTTTGCTTTATAGAAGATGAGTGCCTTTTCCTTCTACTGCTGAAATATCAGTCTCTTAGCCAACAAAAGAGTGCAGATAATTAATTCTTTGTTTCATTTGTTAATTTCCTGAAAGAGGTAGATAATTTAAAAGTGCATGTGCATCAGTGCATAGTAAAGACCATTCTAGTACATAATTTATCTGTGTAATAACAAAAAAGAAGCAACTGCAGACATTACCAAAACATATTTAAATGAAACTTTAGCTGTATGAGCTATGAGCAATTAGCTGAATTAGAATAAGAAACAATTGCTTTCACTGAATAAGACCCTATCAAATATCATTAGACATGACAGGTAGACTCCAAAGTGGTGATCCACTGATTAGAAAATACGCAGTGATGCTACAGCAGTTTCTCACATTTGGAAATTTGCCAAAGGCCCAAAAAGGTTGGGGACCCCTACTATTATGTAGTTACATCCAAGTGCAGCCAGTTGTTACTTTAAGAGCCAGTGCAGTGAAGTGATTACAGGGTCTGACTAGGATTGGTGAAACCCAGGTTTCTAAATCCCATGAATTCAAGGTTTACTCAGCATGAAGCATGCTTACACTGGAATTCTGTAGCCACTTTCCTAGAAGTAAGCCCCAATGAAATCAGTGGGTAGATTTCTAAGTAGATAAGTATAAGATTGAAATGTTAGTGGCTTTTATCCTATCACTGTCTCTTGGCCTAAGTTACCTCAGAGAGCTGCTATGATCTAACTGGGCTCTCAATTGCCTTGCACGTTGTATATCTAAGGTCAAATCTGGCTAAACTTGTATAATCAACACTGCATATATTCCGTAGCCTTAGGATGGGAAATCACTAATGTAATTATGTATGCATTTGCCAGCTCTTACAGGCTCAAATCTTTATTTCTTCCTACCA